TGATGTAGGAGTGTGTGTTGATGTAGGAGTGTGTGTTGATGTAGGAGTGTGTTGATGTAGGAGAGTGTGTTGATGTAGGAGTGTGTGTTGATGTAGGAGTGTGTTGATGTAGGAGTGTGTTGATGTAGGAGTGTGTGTTGATGTAGGAGTGTGTGTTGATGTAGGAGTATGTGTTGATGTAGGAGTGTGTGTTGATGTAGGAGTGTGTGTTGATGTAGGAGTGTGTGTTGATGTAGGAGTGTGTTGATGTAGGAGTGTGTTGATGTAGGAGTGTGTGTTGATGTAGGAGTGTGTGTTGATGTAGGAGTATGTGTTGATGTAGGAGTGTGTGTTGATGTAGGAGTATGTGTTGATGTAGGAGTATGTGTTGATGTAGGAGTGTGTTGATGTAGGAGTATGTGTTGATGTAGGAGTATGTGTTGATGTAGGAGTGTGTGTTGATGTAGGAGTGTGTGTTGATGTAGGAGTGTGTGTTGATGTAGGAGTATGTGTTGATGTAGGAGTGTGTTGATGTAGGAGTGTGTTGATGTAGGAGTATGTGTTGATGTAGGAGTATGTGTTGATGTAGGAGTGTGTGTTGATGTAGGAGTGTGTGTTGATGTAGGAGTGTGTGTTGATGTAGGAGTATGTGTTGATGTAGGAGTGTGTTGATGTAGGAGTATGTGTTGATGTAGGAGTATGTGTTGATGTAGGAGTGTGTGTTGATGTAGGAGTGTGTGTTGATGTAGGAGTGTGTGTTGATGTAGGAGTATGTGTTGATGTAGGAGTGTGTTGATGTAGGAGTGTGTTGATGTAGGAGCGTGTGTTGATGTAGGAGTGTGTGTTGATGTAGGAGTGTGTGTTGATGTAGGAGTGTGTGTTGATGTAGGAGTGTGTTGATGTAGGAGTATGTGTTGATGTAGGAGTATGTGTTGATGTAGGAGTGTGTTGATGTAGGAGTGTGTGTTGATGTAGGAGTGTGTGTTGATGTAGGAGAGTGTGTTGATGTAGGAGTGTGTGTTGATGTAGGAGTGTGTTGATGTAGGAGTGTGTGTTGATGTAGGAGTGTATGTTGATGTAGGAGTATGTGTTGATGTAGGAGCGTGTGTTGATGTAGGAGTGTGTGTTGATGTAGGAGTATGTGTTGATGTAGGAGTGTGTGTTGATGTAGGAGTGTGTGTTGATGTAGGAGTGTGTTGATGTAGGAGTGTGTTGATGTAGGAGTGTGTGTTGATGTAGGAGTGTGTGTTGATGTAGGAGTATGTGTTGATGTAGGAGTGTGTTGATGTAGGAGTGTGTTGATGTAGGAGTGTGTGTTGATGTAGGAGTGTGTGTTGATGTAGGAGTGTGTTGATGTAGGAGAGTGTGTTGATGTAGGAGTGTGTGTTGATGTAGGAGTGTGTTGATGTAGGAGTGTGTTGATGTAGGAGTGTGTGTTGATGTAGGAGTGTGTGTTGATGTAGGAGTATGTGTTGATGTAGGAGTGTGTGTTGATGTAGGAGTGTGTGTTGATGTAGGAGTGTGTGTTGATGTAGGAGTGTGTTGATGTAGGAGTGTGTTGATGTAGGAGTGTGTGTTGATGTAGGAGTGTGTGTTGATGTAGGAGTGTGTGTTGATGTAGGAGTATGTGTTGATGTAGGAGTGTGTGTTGATGTAGGAGTATGTGTTGATGTAGGAGTATGTGTTGATGTAGGAGTGTGTTGATGTAGGAGTATGTGTTGATGTAGGAGTATGTGTTGATGTAGGAGTGTGTGTTGATGTAGGAGTGTGTGTTGATGTAGGAGTATGTGTTGATGTAGGAGTGTGTGTTGATGTAGGAGTGTGTGTTGATGTAGGAGTGTGTGTTGATGTAGGAGTGTGTGTTGATGTAGGAGTGTGTTGATGTAGGAGCGTGTGTTGATGTAGGAGCGTGTGTTGATGTAGGAGTATGTGTTGATGTAGGAGTGTGTTGATGTAGGAGTGTGTTGATGTAGGAGTGTGTTGATGTAGGAGAGTGTGTTGATGTAGGAGTGTGTGTTGATGTAGGAGTATGTGTTGATGTAGGAGTGTGTGTTGATGTAGGAGTGTGTGTTGATGTAGGAGTGTGTTGATGTAGGAGTGTGTGTTGATGTAGGAGTGTGTTGATGTAGGAGTGTGTTGATGTAGGAGAGTGTGTTGATGTAGGAGTGTGTGTTGATGTAGGAGTGTGTGTTGATGTAGGAGTGTGTGTTGATGTAGGAGTGTGTGTTGATGTAGGAGTGTGTGTTGATGTAGGAGTGTGTGTTGATGTAGGAGTGTGTTGATGTAGGAGTGTGTTGATGTAGGAGAGTGTGTTGATGTAGGAGTATGTGTTGATGTAGGAGTGTGTGTTGATGTAGGAGTGTGTGTTGATGTAGGAGTGTGTTGATGTAGGAGTGTGTTGATGTAGGAGAGTGTGTTGATGTAGGAGTATGTGTTGATGTAGGAGTATGTGTTGATGTAGGAGTGTGTGTTGATGTAGGAGTGTGTTGATGTAGGAGTGTGTTGATGTAGGAGTGTGTTGATGTAGGAGAGTGTGTTGATGTAGGAGAGTGTGTTGATGTAGGAGTGTGTGTTGATGTAGGAGTGTGTGTTGATGTAGGAGTGTGTGTTGATGTAGGAGTGTGTGTTGATGTAGGAGTGTGTGTTGATGTAGGAGTGTGTGTTGATGTAGGAGTGTGTTGATGTAGGAGTGTGTTGATGTAGGAGAGTGTGTTGATGTAGGAGTGTGTGTTGATGTAGGAGAGTGTGTTGATGTAGGAGTATGTGTTGATGTAGGAGTGTGTTGATGTAGGAGTGTGTGTTGATGTAGGAGTGTGTTGATGTAGGAGTGTGTTGATGTAGGAGAGTGTGTTGATGTAGGAGTGTGTGTTGATGTAGGAGTGTGTGTTGATGTAGGAGTGTGTGTTGATGTAGGAGTGTGTGTTGATGTAGGAGTGTGTGTTGATGTAGGAGTGTGTGTTGATGTAGGAGTGTGTTGATGTAGGAGTGTGTTGATGTAGGAGAGTGTGTTGATGTAGGAGTATGTGTTGATGTAGGAGTGTGTGTTGATGTAGGAGTGTGTGTTGATGTAGGAGTGTGTTGATGTAGGAGTGTGTTGATGTAGGAGAGTGTGTTGATGTAGGAGTATGTGTTGATGTAGGAGTGTGTTGATGTAGGAGTGTGTGTTGATGTAGGAGTATGTGTTGATGTAGGAGTGTGTTGATGTAGGAGTGTGTTGATGTAGGAGAGTGTGTTGATGTAGGAGTATGTGTTGATGTAGGAGTGTGTGTTGATGTAGGAGAGTGTGTTGATGTAGGAGTGTGTGTTGATGTAGGAGTGTGTTGATGTAGGAGTGTGTGTTAATGTAGGAGCGTGTGTTGATGTAGGAGTATGTGTTGATGTAGGAGTGTGTGTTGATGTAGGAGTGTGTTGATGTAGGAGAGTGTGTTGATGTAGGAGAGTGTGTTGATGTAGGAGAGTGTGTTGATGTAGGAGTGTGTGTTGATGTAGGAGTATGTGTTGATGTAGGAGTGTGTGTTGATGTAGGAGTGTGTGTTGATGTAGGAGTGTGTTGATGTAGGAGTGTGTGTTGATGTAGGAGTGTGTTGATGTAGGAGTGTGTTGATGTAGGAGAGTGTGTTGATGTAGGAGTGTGTGTTGATGTAGGAGTGTGTGTTGATGTAGGAGTGTGTGTTGATGTAGGAGTGTGTGTTGATGTAGGAGTGTGTGTTGATGTAGGAGTGTGTGTTGATGTAGGAGTGTGTTGATGTAGGAGTGTGTTGATGTAGGAGAGTGTGTTGATGTAGGAGTATGTGTTGATGTAGGAGTGTGTGTTGATGTAGGAGTGTGTGTTGATGTAGGAGTGTGTTGATGTAGGAGTGTGTTGATGTAGGAGAGTGTGTTGATGTAGGAGTATGTGTTGATGTAGGAGTATGTGTTGATGTAGGAGTGTGTGTTGATGTAGGAGTGTGTTGATGTAGGAGTGTGTTGATGTAGGAGAGTGTGTTGATGTAGGAGAGTGTGTTGATGTAGGAGTGTGTGTTGATGTAGGAGTGTGTTGATGTAGGAGAGTGTGTTGATGTAGGAGTGTGTGTTGATGTAGGAGTATGTGTTGATGTAGGAGCGTGTTGATGTAGGAGTGTGTGTTGATGTAGGAGTATGTGTTGATGTAGGAGTGTGTTGATGTAGGAGTGTGTGTTGATGTAGGAGTATGTGTTGATGTAGGAGTGTGTTGATGTAGGAGTGTGTGTTGATGTAGGAGTGTGTGTTGATGTAGGAGTATGTGTTGATGTAGGAGAGTGTTGATGTAGGAGTGTGTGTTGATGTAGGAGAGTGTTGATGTAGGAGAGTGTTGATGTAGGAGTGTGTGTTGATGTAGGAGAGTGTGTTGATGTAGGAGTGTGTGTTGATGTAGGAGTGAGTGTTGATGTAGGAGTGTGTGTTGATGTAGGAGCGTGTGTTGATGTAGGAGTGTGTGTTGATGTAGGAGTGTGTTGATGTAGGAGTGTGTGTTAATGTAGGAGCGTGTGTTGATGTAGGAGTATGTGTTGATGTAGGAGTGTGTGTTGATGTAGGAGTGTGTTGATGTAGGAGAGTGTGTTGATGTAGGAGAGTGTGTTGATGTAGGAGTGTGTGTTGATGTAGGAGTGTGTTGATGTAGGAGCGTGTGTTGATGTAGGAGTGTGTTGATGTAGGAGAGTGTGTTGATGTAGGAGTGTGTGTTGATGTAGGAGCGTGTGTTGATGTAGGAGTATGTGTTGATGTAGGAGTGTGTGTTGATGTAGGAGTATGTGTTGATGTAGGAGTGTGTTGATGTAGGAGCGTGTGTTGATGTAGGAGCGTGTGTTGATGTAGGAGTATGTGTTGATGTAGGAGTGTGTGTTGATGTAGGAGCGTGTGTTGATGTAGGAGTGTGTTGATGTAGGAGAGTGTGTTGATGTAGGAGTGTGTGTTGATGTAGGAGCGTGTGTTGATGTAGGAGCATGTGTTGATGGAGGAGTATGTGTTGATGTAGGAGTATGTGTTAATGTAGGGGTACTTACTCAAAAGGATATGAGTATTTATAGACCACTTCCTTCCAGGGGTTGCTTTCGTTGTTACATTTGGTCTTCAGAGACGAACTGGTCCTGAAGCTGGTGGTTGTTGCGAAAGCAAATATGGCCACAATCTGAAAGATGATAAATTGTTTTACTGATCAAGAAGGTTGTATGAACACAAGGCCTGTATATGTTTCACATTCAAGTAATTGAGATGAGTGAGTGAGTGAGTATGGTCAATCGCCGCTTTAAGCAATATTCCAGAAATAACACAGCAAGGGACTCCAGAAATGGGCTTCACACATTGTACCCATGAGGGGAATCGAACCCGGGTCTTCGGCGTGACAAGCAAACACTTTAACCCATGTGCTTGACAAGTTTAACCCTATGAGGCAGTAACTAGCTTCAACTTATCTATGGACAGGCTCATCGTTACAAGTATTTTCTGATTAATATTTGCCAGTATGAGTTCTGTTGTGGATTATCCGGTTAAGAAATTGTTGCATAATTACATCATAACAACACTCTTAGAAACATGTCAGCTCCAAGCGCTGCATCTTTTGGAAACATTCCGGTAAATGCCTTTGATGATGCTGAAAGGGATTCTCGGCAGAGATGCGGTGACATTCTGGGTCACTACATATGGCTTTCATCATCATAAAACCCCTGTAGCACCTTTCATCTTTATTTACCCAAACAAGAAACTACTTGATAAAGAAAAGAACTAATCGATGCTGTAATCCAAATCATTCCTCAGAGGTTTTGTGTTTGATTATTTAGGATCAAAAATTGTCTGGAGTTGCTAATAAACATGTCTTTCATCTACTAACAAATATCCAAGAAAATACAAGTTAGCTTCCAACTCATGCAAACACCTTTATCTTATGGCAACAATACTTCTTGAGAACATCTGTGACATTCCATTATCTATCAGGGTACAGAGTGTCGACTACTATCAGGGTACAGGATCCTCCTCCATAGGGCAGATCCAGCTATGAGTGAGTGTTGGGTGTTTGAGCTGCTTCATTCAGTATGTTGGCTACTATCAGGGTACAGAGTCCTCCTCTATAGGGCAGATCCAGCTATGAGTGAGTGTTGGGTGTTTGAGCTGCTTCATTCAGTATGTTGGCTACTATCAGGGTACAGAGTCCTCCTCCATAGGGCAGATCCAGCTATGAGTGAGTGTTGGGTGTTTGAGCTGCTTCATTCAGTATGTTGGCTACTATCAGGGTACAGAGTCCTCCTCTATAGGGCAGATCCAGCTATGAGTGAGTGTTGGGTGTTTGAGCTGCTTCATTCAGTGTGTCGGCTACTATATGGGTACAGAGTCCTCCTCTATAGGGCAGATCCAGCTATGAGTGAGTGTTGGGTGTTTGAGCTGCTTCATTCAGTATGTTGGCTACTATCAGGGTACAGAGTCCTCCTCCATAGGGCAGATCCAGCTATGAGTGAGTGTTGGGTGTTTGAGCTGTTTCATTCAGTATGTCGACTACTATCAGGGTACAGAGTCCTCCTCTATAGGGCAGATCCAGCTATGAGTGAGTGTTGGGTGTTTGAGCTGCTTCATTCAGTATGTTGGCTACTATCAGGGTACAGAGTCCTCCTCCATAGGGCAGATCCAGCTATGAGTGAGTGTTGGGTGTTTGAGCTGCTTCATTCAGTATGTCGACTACTATCAGGGTACAGAGTCCTCCTCCATAGGGCAGATCCAGCTATGAGTGAGTGTTGGGTGTTTGAGCTGCTTCATTCAGTGTGTCGGCTACTATATGGGTACAGAGTCCTCCTCTATAGGGCAGATCCAGCTATGAGTGAGTGTTGGGTGTTTGAGCTGCTTCATTCAGTGTGTCGGCTACTATCAGGGTACAGAGTCCTCCTCCATAGGGCAGATCCAGCTATGAGTGAGTGTTGGGTGTTTGAGCTGCTTCATTCAGTATGTTGGCTACTATCAGGGTACAGAGTCCTCCTCTATAGGGCAGATCCAGCTATGAGTGAGTGTTGGGTGTTTGAGCTGCTTCATTCAGTATGTCGGCTACTATCAGGGTACAGAGTCCTCCTCTATAGGGCAGATCCAGCTATGAGTGAGTGTTGGGTGTTTGAGCTGCTTCATTCAGTATGTCGGCTACTATCAGGGTACAGAGTCCTCCTCTATAGGGCAGATCCAGCTATGAGTGAGTGTTGGGTGTTTGAGCTGCTTTATTCAGTGTGTCGGCTACTATCAGGGTACAGAGTCCTCCATAGGGCAGATCCAGCTATGAGTGAGTGTTGGGTGTTTGAGCTGCTTCATTCAGTATGTCGGCTACTATCAGGGTACAGAGTCCTCCATAGGGCAGATCCAGCTATGAGTGAGTGTTGGGTGTTTGAGCTGCTTCATTCAGTGTGTCGACTACTATCAGGGTACAGAGTCCTCTATAGGGCAGATCCAGCTATGAGTGAGTGTTGGGTGTTTGAGCTGCTTCATTCAGTGTGTCGGCTACTATATGGGTACAGAGTCCTCTAAAGGGCAGATCCAGCTATGAGTGAGTGTTGGGTGTTTGAGCTGCTTCATTCAGTGTGTCGGCTACTATCAGGGTACAGAGTCCTCTATAGGGCAGATCCAGCTATGAGTGAGTGTTGGGTGTTTGAGCTGCTTCATTCAGTGTGTCGACTACTATCAGGGTACAGAGTCCTCTATAGGGCAGATCCAGCTATGAGTGAGTGTTGGGTGTTTGAGCTGCTTCATTCAGTGTGTCGACTACTATCAGGGTACAGAGTCCTCTATAGGGCAGATCCAGCTATGAGTGAGTGTTGGGTGTTTGAGCTGCTTCATTCAGTGTGTCGGCTACTATATGGGTACAGAGTCCTCCTCTATAGGGCAGATCCAGCTATGAGTGAGTGTTGGGTGTTTGAGCTGCTTCATTCAGTGTGTCAGCTACTATATGGGTACAGAGTCCTCCTCTATAGGGCAGATCCAGCTTCGAGTGAGTGTTGGGTGTTTGAGCTGCTTCATTCAGTATGTCGGCTACTATCAGGGTACAGAGTCCTCCTCCATAGGGCAGATCCAGCTATCAGTGAGTGTTGGGTGTTTGAGCTGCTTCATTCAGTGTGTTGGCTACTATCAGGGTACAGAGTCCTCCTCCATAGGGCAGATCCAGCTATGAGTGAGTGTTGGGTGTTTGAGCTGCTTCATTCAGTATGTCGGCTACTATCAGGGTACTGAATCCTTCTCCTTCACGCCCAAAGTAATAAGTAATAAGATCTTCACATCCAAAGTAATGAGTAATAAGATCTTCACATTTAAAGTAATGAGTAATAAGATCTTCACATACAAAGTAATGAGTAATAAGATCTTTACATCGAAAGTAATGAGCAATACAATCTCCACATCCAAGGTAATGAGTAATAAGATCGTCACATCCAAAGTAATGAGCAATAAGATCTTCACATCCAAAGTAATGAGTAATAAGATCTTCACATACAAAGTAATGAGCAATACGATCTTCACATACAAAGTAATGAGTAATAAGATCTTCACATACAAAGTAATGAGCAATACGATCTTCACATCCAAAGTAATAAGTAATAAGATCTTCACATCTAAATGTATATGACAACTATGATATGATAATACAGCATAATAATAGATATTACAAAATATTTGCATATTATTCTGTGGATGATAAATGCCATATATAAGTATCAGTACTTTTGACCCAAGATGCCAGTGGTGGCGTGAAGTGATTACAGGATAAATCAATGTTGACGTTTGCCATCAGTTTTGACACAAGCATTGGTCGGCCATTGTTTCATATTTACACAGGTCATTTGCCGTGGCAATATTGCAGGACCTTGTATCATGTCACTGAGGGTCCACCCTCCCCATTAGGTGCCATGTGTCACCGGTTGGAAGCATAATCTGTCAATCACAGAGGAAGAAGCCATGGGGAGGGGTTACAAAACCTTTGCCCTTACAAATTGTTCAGAAGCCAAATAGACTTTCCTCTTGTACCCTCTACATGAAGTATATTCTTTATTGGCACAAACAGTCTCCTGCAACAGCAAACTGTAAGTGGTCAGTACGAAGTGTACATGAAGTAGATGAAGGGCAATGTCCACAACTCATTGGCCACCGAACAGCAACAGCCTACATGGGACACTACACTTGAGGTGAGGTGAGGTGAGGTGAGGTGAGGTGAGGTGAGGTGAGGTGAGGTGAGGTGAAATTGGGTTTAACGTCGCGTCCAAGATTATTGCACTTATATAGCGACGTGCATGTACGTGTGTGTGTTTGTGTGGCTGCTTGTACTAGTCCAGACTAATGCCGATTTATAGTGCTAGCTCATTAAGATACCACGCCACAGTTTAACATGAATACCCCACTCAGACACAGTATACTGACTCCGAGCCGACCAGTCCTTGTTTTAGCCCCTTAATGCCGAGCGCCAGACAGGGTAACAACAAGTACCATCTTTTAACGTCTTTTGGTATGACGCGGCCGGGGATCGAACCCCTGCTCTCCGGGCGGACGCTCTACCACAAGACCACGGAGGCGGTCCACTACACTTGAACCCAGGTGGGAATCAAACTCAGACCTTCAGCCTGACCTAGTTAACTCTTGTACTACTCACCTAACACACCAGCTCCTAATGAAGTAAATCAAATAGTGAAATGTATGGGTTTTTATTAATATTCTCAACTAACAATTTACCTAAAGCAAGTTTCAATCAATGAAATGAATATTGTTCCTACAAAGTAGACACACGATACAGATAAACTACAGATATGGGAAACTACAGTATTAGTTATTAATATTAAATCCTATAAACTCCAAGACAAGCCATCAGACACCTGACCAACAACATCTCCACGCCAAGAGGGAGGTTCCACACGGGAGTTATTGAACAATAGTAACCTATACGTCTCTACAGACACCATAAGTGTTATGCTGGAGTATAACAACAGATGGAATGTGGAATCAATACACTGTTATTCCCTATTCCGTAGTCCAACTGGAATGATAGCTCACAATTTACACATACCATCGCTCTGATAAGTGATAAGGCTTTTCATATCGCTTCTCAAGACCTCAAATAACCTTGTCTCAGGAGTGTCGGAGTAATCTAATTGCCCAGTCCTTTTGGTTGGAACTAAATAC